TATATATATATATATATATTATATATATATATATATATATAATATATATATATATATTATTATTATATAATATATATATAATATATATATGTCGTGCCGAATATGTAAAACTGGTCAATTAGCAAGAACTCATTTAAAATTAAGTCCTTTCTAAAATTTTCTCTTATACGTTTAAAGATATATTTTTTTCATTAATGTTAATGTAAAAAATTTTAATTTTGCACCAAAAGAATCGTAGAAAACTTACCTAACCTTATTATAACAAGAACAATTTATTTTAGCCTAACCCAACTAAATGTATTTTAAATACGTTTACAATAATTTAATACTAAACAAACACAATCAAATATATTTTTTTCGTTAGGTTCAGAATGATTTTGGCGATATTATTGCATACACAAATTTTCACTTGTCCTATATGGCAAGATGAGCGTTGCTATTTAAGCCAAGATCGCAAGTTCTGCCTATTCGGCACGACATATATTTCAATCTTTCTTTCAACAAACCGGCCATATCCCACCAAGGCGGGGTGGCCCTAAAGGAAAAACGAAAGTTTCTCCTTTTACATTTAGTAATATATATAGGAGAAGAGGTTACTAGCCCCTTGCTCCCGGCATTTTAGTCGCCTCTTACAACACGCATGGCTTACGGAGGAAGAATTCTGTTCCACTTCCCCATGGAGATAAGAGGAAATAAACAAGAATAAGAACTAGAAAGAAAATAGAAGAAAACCCAGAGGGGTGTGTATATATGTGCTTGTACATGTATGTGTAGTGTGACCTAAGTGTAAGTAGAAGTAGCAAGACGTACCTGAAATCTTGCATGTTTATGAGGCAGAAAAAAGGACACCAGCAATCCTCCATCACGAAAAACAATTACAGACTTTCGTTTCACACTCATTGGCAGGATGGTAGTACCCCCCTGGGTGGTTGCTGTTTACCAACCTTCTACCTACATATATATATATAATATATTATATATATATATATATATATATATATATATAATATATATACACATTTATATAACAGAAGGAGAATATATCTTAATCATAACACTCACCAATTTGACTGGAGATTAATGTGTCATGTACAGGATCCCCCCTTTTGCCTACATTTATGAAAAATTTACTGGCCAGAATTTAAACATAAATTAGACAGCTTATCTGAGGTTCCTGGAGTTGTCCTATCGTGTCGCCTGATACTCAAATTATGCAGGAATGCACATCCAACAATTTCGGCTCCTATTTGAGAGGTGTCAGCCCAATTTTAACCTCTAGAGCACGAAAATTCTTCCGATTTCACTAACTTTCTGTTGGCCAGTTCAAACAGCAATGGCGAGTCTCTTCTGCGCAGGTGCAGCTTCCCATTTTCGATAACATAATTTTTATTAAATACAGTATGGCCATCTATATACATTTAACTACTGTATTTCTGGAAAATATATACAGTATTTTCCACAGGTCTCCCTGTTTTGCTTTTCTCTCTAAATGTCCAAACCACCTGAACAACCCCACCTCAGCCATCTGAATTTTACTCCTGGTAATCCTACACCTTTTAATCTCCAGACTCAGGATTCTCTACATAATTATATCACACATTACTCTCAAACTTATTTCCAATGCCTTCATTTTCCTCCTCCCTACAACACACACTTAAGTGTTATACAGCTACACTCTGGTACATTTCTCTTTCTGCCTCCATGGATAAAGTTCTTTGTTTCCACATGTTTACCTGGAATTTACCTGGAGAGAGTTCCGGGGGTCAACGCCCCCGCGGCCCGGTCTGTGACCAGGCCTCCTGGTGGATCAGAGCCTGATCAACCAGGCTGTTACTGCTGGCTGCACGCAAACCAACGTACGAGCCACAGCCCGGCTGGTCAGGAACCGACTTTAGGTGCTTGTCCAGTGCCAGCTTGAAGACTGCCAGGGGTCTGTTGGTAATCCCCCTTATGTATGCTGGGAGGCAGTTGAACAGTCTCGGGCCCCTGATACTTATTGTATGGTCTCTTAACGTGCTAGTGACACCCCTGCTTTTCATTGGGGGGATGTTGCATCGTCTGCCAAGTCTTTTGCTTTCGTAGTGAGTGATTTTCGTGTGCAAGTTCGGTACTAGTCCCTCTAGGATTTTCCAGGTGTATATAATCATGTATCTCTCCCTCCTGCGTTCCAGGGAATACAGGTTTAGGAACCTCAAGTGCTCCCAGTAATTGAGGTGTTTTATCTCCGTTATGCGTGCCGTGAAGGTTCTCTGTACATTTTCTAGGTCAGCAATTTCACCTGCCTTGAAAGGTGCTGTTAGTGTGCAGCAATATTCCAGCCTAGATAGAACAAATGACCTGAAGAGTGTCATCATGGGCTTGGCCTCCCTAGTTTTGAAGGTTCTCATTATCCATCTTGTCATTTTTCTAGCAGATGCGATTGATACAATGTTATGGTCCTTGAAGATGAGATCCTCCGACATGATCACTCCCAGGTCTTTGACGTTGGTGTTTCGTTCTATTTTGTGGCCAGAATTTGTTTTGTACTCTGATGAAGATTTAATTTCCTCATGTTTACCATATCTGAGTAATTGAAATTTCTCATCGTTAAACTTCATATTGTTTTCTGCAGCCCACTGAAAGATTTGATTGATGTCTGCCTGGAGCCTTGCAGTGTCTGCAATGGAAGACACTGTCTGTATATATTTTCCAGAAATGCAGTAGTTATATGTATATAGATGGCCATACTGTATTAATAAAAATTATGTTATCGAAAATGGGAAGCTGCGCCTGCGCAGATGAGACTCACCATTGTTTTGAATGAGCCGAGAAAACGTTAGTGATAATGGGAAGAATTTTTCGTGCTCTAGAGGTAAAATTGGGCTGACACATCTCAAATAGGAGGCGAAATTGTTGGATGTGCATTCCTGCATAACTTGAGATATCAGACGACTGGACAAGACAGCGCCAGGAACCTCAGATAAGTTTGTTTATGTTTGTAACTCTGACCAGTGTTATTTTCATGTATAGACAGTCAGGTTTTCTGAGTATGATACACCTTAATCTCCAGTAAAATTGGTGAGTGATATTAAGATATTCTCCTTCTGTTGTGTAAATTGTATATATATAATCCTTTATTAATTTTAATATACAGTCCACAAATTTATATATTTACCAGTATTCCTGGTGATGTACATTTCATTTGTAATTAATAGGTCTAGAGCAACTTGTGGATAAGACAGTTGTAGGTATCGAAGGGGGACATTTTGCGACCTAGGTGTCCCAAAATCCTACTTGTCTATGTAACTGATAAATAATAATTATGTTTGTTATCATTTACTGTTATGTACTATAATGAGTTACATTCAGATAAATGTAATTTTCCACACCACAGATGCCTAAATGCACCTCCCACCTTTTTCCTCTCGTCATTGCTATGGTTCACCTCATCTTTCCTAGACCCTTACGCGGAGTTCATTCCCAAATATATGTATATGAACACATTTGCTTCCCCCATTTTCCTTTCCTCTAATCTGATATCCAATTTCTCAGTTCCTATTTTTTTTTTACACTCATCTCTCTGTGTTCATTTTCACTGTCCTTCGTTTACATACCCTCCCAAATTCCTTCAACTTTTCTTCAGAATCTCCGAGAAGAATCGTTTCAGTGGCAAAAAAACAACTATGGCAACTCAAGTTAAATTTCAGTCTCACATTATGTCCCCAACACCCTAATGTTTACTTGCAACCCCCATCTAAAAAATATGTTAAACATAAATGATGACATCACACATCTTGCCTGAGGCTAACTTCTACTGGAAAATAATTCCCTTCTCTCCTACATACCCTAATCTGAGCCTCACTAGATCAAGTAAAGAACAGAAGGCACAATAGTGACTCGAACAATTCACAAATAAGCTTCTCTCTTCTATGTGCGGGTTATTTATGTATATACTTAGCTTTAAATTTGTTTGCGCAGTTTTTCATAAAAAACACTGTGTTACATGGCAAAGCTGACAAACAGATTTAGTGTAATTTTCCTCTCCATCTTTAGACTGCCTTTTTCCTGGTTATTCTGTCCTCTCAAGTTTAGTTCCTTACGTTTCTCTTCATATTTCGTAACTATTAACTCTGGGAATAGTCTAGTTGCCATCCTCTCTGAGGTGGCAACTCCATGGATGTGCTCCATACTCAACATACTTATATCTTGTATAGTTCCATAAATGTATTTTTATTGAGTCTTGAATTACCTTTATATTTGAGACTCGCTTACATGTTACAAGTGAGGTGCTCTTTAATAATATGCTTGGTTATGCGCTCACACCAGTGAGTGAGATTTGTAGTCTTCGTCGCCCTCCGTTTCTGATTCCCTTTGCCCTTCCCAGTTTTCATAACCTTACACTTGCTGGGGTTCAGTTTCAGTAAATGCATATCAGGACAAACCGCAAGTTTGTCCTGGTCCATTAGTAACCTTTTAGTTTTGCCGCCTGACCGGCAAGTTTATGCACTTCATGTTCATCCTGTGAACGGCAGAACAATGAAAACATAAGGATTATACACATCACAATGGGGTTTTGTCAACCCCCCACTGGGTATTTATAGCCTTGTTCTGTGTGCGCGCGCGCCCGTGCGCATACGTGCTCACCCATTTATACCCATTTGTAATTGCCTCGGCTGTTAATTAACTTGCCACTCTCCATATTCACTCAGCCTTGTGGACCCTATCTACCTGCTTTAAAAACTGTATGTATGTGTGTGCGCCTGTGCATGTGTTCATCCTACAAGCCATTGTATTATTATAATCAAGGGGTAAGCGCTAAACCCGGAGGATTATACAGCGCCTGGGGGGGGGATGTGGAAGGCATTCAGGCATAATTCAGGGAACTGGAGCACAGATCCAATTCCCTAAATCAAGAGCCCCTCACCAACATCGAGGAACCTTCCTTGAGGGGCAAGCCATTGTAAAAATTGAATCATGCTTAGAAACTAAATAAAAACTTACCCATTTCTCTCGTTACACAGGAACTTATAAATCAATACTACCGGCAGCAGGAGATCATGTGGGACTGCAGGAATTGCAACAAGGAACACCTGTGTACAGTGAAGTCTTCCATCATTCACCTTCCCCGTTTTCTCCTTCTCCATCTCAGTAGGTAAGATAAGATTCTGTTTGGATTTTTAACCCCGGAGGGTTAGCCATCCAGGATAACCCAGGAAAGTCAGTGTGTCAAAGGAGACCGTCTGTCTTATTTCCATTGACGTCATTTAGTCTTGTCCCTCAGGATGCGATCCACACCAGTCTACTAAACCCAGGTACCTAGTTGAAGAACGAGACAATTGTGCAGTATTCCTACGGGTTTAGCGTTCCCCAGTGATTATAATTATAATCCACCCATGCTGGTAATTGAACCATAATTACTCAGTGTAAGACGAGAACGTTGCCAACCAAGACACGGTGCAAACATGTTCAGTTTCGTATACACTCAGAGGTGTACATATCTCAGTATGTATATGCTGATTTTAATCCCTGTTTTACATATTAAAGTACATATTCTTATCTGGTAGTGAAAAGGTCACCGTGCAGCCTTCATGACCCTAGTGTAGTCGACAGCCTTTACATCCCATTAACTTAACTGTAATGTAATACATATGTAATTACTAAGGTAATGATCCTTAGTAAGCCAGCGGATGCTTAGCCATTTATTGGTCATTGTTTAGCAAAAAAAAAAAAAAGGGGTCAGCAGAACGCTTGTTCCAGTTTCCTGACTAATAAACCACCAGCACCAGACAATTCTTATCCTAGGACACCACTTTCTGGTGTCCTCTGTTTATATATAGTGTGGAAATCCTACCATCATATCTCGCAATGTAATCGTTATTATTTTATAAGGTGGAATGGAAAGTCTTAGTTGTATGACCTATTAAAAGATCCAGTGAGTTGGCCATTATTATTATTGTTAGTTTCATTATTGTATACATGGGAAAGTGCTGAAGCTTCTCGGGTTATACACTGTCTTTAGTAATAATAATAATAATAATAATAATAATAATAATAATAATATCATTAACAATAACATTATGATGAATTCTTTCATTCCCTTCTAGAGTAAATGCCGACACACACTCTGTTCAAAAGACAAAAGTTACCTACCCTCTGGAGCATCTTTCTCTCAGACCCTACACTACACGACAGTCTAGGTAAGTTTTAAACATCTGCTTACATGCACGAGTTATTTAATTTACTTAAAAAGTTGAAAACACTGTCATTCAATCTAAGCTTCTAACATCTGCCTACCTTCACGAGTCATTCAATCTAAGCTTCTAACATCTGCCTACCTTCACGAGTCATTCAATCTAAGCTTCTAACATCTGCCTACCTTCACTAGTTATTTAAGTTAGTTAGGTTTGAAACATCTGCCTTCATGCATAAGTTCTATGCATAATTTTATTAGACCATCATTACCTGTTGGAAATTCCTGTTACTGGGAAGAATGACATGGTATCCTCCCCGTTATGTGAAATTCAGAAGACACAGGTATAGAGTAAACATTACGCTCTTTGCAGAGCTTAATATATGCTCTGTTGACTTGATTACACTCTACACAATAAAATAGTCCCAATAAAAGCTTGGGCTATAGTTCAGTCTTGCTCCTCGGCGAAACTCAGACGTTACTTAATATTTTTATGATACATGCAGGATAAATTAGCAAAAATAATAACTTGGTAGAAGAGGCCTAGCTTCTCCCTACAAGCCCCGTGAGGGCGGGGACTGTGGCTAGGCCTGGGGACAGTTGGTCCCAAAGATGAGGGGGGTACTTGTACCTCCTCCCATGGGAGACTTAGGTCTCGAGATACTCCCCAGATAGGGAGCCAAGGCCGGGTCACCACTACTTGGAAAAGACCCGGGTCGGGAGAATACCGGCGAATAAGAAAAAAAAACAAATACATATCTGCCTTTATATTTACATTAAATTTTGTTAATTTTGATTTTGTTGCGTTACGTTTTGTTTTTATTTTTCCATTTGCACAACATATTATCTCCATGGCTAAACCCACTTAATACGGGACATCTTAAGCAGTAATTTATTGTTAAAATACCGCAAGGAGTGACCATTATTGTCAGTGTTTATTCTGCACCTGTCTTTCCTCCATTACTCTGGGCAGTAACCTGCTGTAACCATCCTGATCTAAGGTATGTCAGGATTTTTAATAATAACTTTCTAACTTGTCTTAATTAGTAACTATCGTTATTCCTAATAAGCATAACAAATGTTAATTTTATCTATAATACATGGTAACGAAATTTAAGCTGCATTCATGCAAGCAGGATTAGTGTAAATATTACGTTAATATTAGCATGATTACGTCAAGTTACTGAGTTTAATTGTAGCCAGAAATTTAAATTTTTAGTACGTTTTTATTCACAGGAATATAGTCATTAGAATATATGATACAAATCAATAATGTTATTAATAAGGAATTAGAGCCACCTTTGCTTTCTTTGGATCAAATTTAAAATTCCCATTATATATATATATATATATATATATATTATATTTATATATATATATATATATATATATATATATATATATATATATATATATATATATTGATATTGTCATCATTCTTCCACAGCCCTTATGACTTGTACGCGGTGTGCTGTCACCAAGGATCCATGGCTTCAGGACACTACACAGCCTTCTGCAGGAGTAGCAGCTCCCGGGACAGTATATGGTACTCCTTCAACGACACCCAAGTCAATAAGACACAATCACACGAATTTCGCTCAAATCCAGATGCCCACATCCTCTTTTACCAAGCACAAGCCTCGTGAATTTATGCAATTTTATTAAAATGGTAATTTTTTGTAAATAATTGTTATGGTATTTTTATTATTATTATTATTATTGCTACTTTATTCGTTATTTTTCTGTATTTGTATTGCTTTTATTCAAGGGATAGTAATCTCGTTCCCTATAAGGAAAGCATTTAGGTTTGATCCCAGGAAGGAAGGTAGCTCCAGTTACCTGAATCAAAAGCCCTACACCGCTTGAGGTCTATTCGCTAGATATTGTATAACTACAGATTTGGCGTTTCCTAATAATAATAATAATAATAATAATAATAATAATAATAATAATAATAATAATCTGCCTGTTAACAATGTAGTGTGAATCGCCAGTTTGACAATGTGGGACAGTCAGGGTACGGTCAAGTTAACGTCTGGGTTTCCATTGTCAGCATCTATTCTTTTTCATTATAGGCGGTGTTCGTTATACTATATGAAAGATTGCAGCAGGCTGCTTAACTGAGCTTAAAGCTTATCGACTACTCTAAGAGTTATTGAAGCTCTTCTATAACTTGTTCATAACCAGTCAAGAATACTTGAATACTTAAAAGAGAGGTTAAAATAAACTTTCTACGTATTTACAGTGACATACACCTCTGTGTATTTACAGTGGCATACACCTCTAAGTGTATTTACAGTGACATACACCTCTGTGTATTTACAGTGGCATACACCTCTAAGTGTATTTACAGTGACATACACCTCTGTGTATTTACAGTGACATACACCTCTGTGTATTTACAGTGACATACACCTCTCTGTGTATTTACAGTGACATACACCTCTCTGTGTATTTACAGTGGCATACACCTCTAAGTGTATTTACAGTGACATACACCTCTCTGTGTATTTACAGTGACATACACCTCTGTGTATTTACAGTGACATACACCTCTCGGTGTATTTACAGTGACATACACCTCTGTGTATTTACAGTGGCATACACCTCTAAGTGTATTTACAGTGACATACACCTCTGTGTATTTACAGTGACATACACCTCTGTGTATTTACAGTGACATACACCTCTCGGTGTATTTACAGTGACATACACCTCTGTGTATTTACAGTGACATACACCTCTCTGTGTATTTACAGTGACATACACCTCTCGGTGTATTTACAGTGACATACACCTCTCGGTGTATTTACAGTGACATACACCTCTGTGTATTTACAGTGACATACACCTCTCGGTGTATTTACAGTGACATACACCTCTCGGTGTATTTACAGTGACATACACCTCTGTGTATTTACAGTGACATACACCTCTCGGTGTATTTACAGTGACATACACCTCTCGGTGTATTTACAGTGACATACACCTCTGTGTATTTACAGTCACATACACCTCTCAGTATATTTAACCTGTGATTGGTTAGTTAGTTAAAGGGTGTTACAGCCTGTCGTCCTCACGGGGGTCATTAAGAACATAAGAACATAAGAAAGGAGGATCACTGCAGCAGGCCTGTTGGCCCATACTAGGCAGGTCCTTTACAATTCATCCCACTAACAAAACATGTTACCTCTTCACCAGTAAACAACAATACAGTTATTACCAAAGTAGGAATTATAGTCTCAGTATATATGCACTGAGAGAAATACGTCTCATGATGTATATATTTGTGTGATTGGTTAGTTACAAGGATTTCAAGCATAATAACTACACATAAGTTATTAAGGCTGCATGTAAGCTATTCACAGCCAGTGGCAATATAAACACAAATGCAGTATAATGTGATCCTTTATTGACTACGTTTCGCCCACACAGTGGGCTTTTTCAAGTCACAAACAGAACTGCATTTGTGTTTATATTGCCATTGTGTCGGTATTTTATACCATTTATTTCCATCCTACTCACAGCCAGACAAGCAGACTTTAATCCTTGAAACAGGGATTAAAGTCTGGGCAGATATACACGTAAACTCACCTCTGTGTATGTGTCCTGCTTGTGATTCTTCTAGGTAGTGAACACATATAAATATCTGTACTTCTACAAGTACATGTACAAGGTATACAGTCCTAGATGACATCAGTGACATACTAGTATATAGGTGTATATCACTGTAAATACACTGAAAGGTGTATGTGACTGTAAATACACCGAGAGGTTTATGTCAATAAATACACTGAGAGGTGTATGTCACTGTAAATACACTGAGAGGTGTATGTCACTGTAAATACACTGAGAGGTGTATGTCACTGTAAATACACTGAGAGGTGTATGTCACTGTAAATACACTGAGAGGTGTATGTCACTGTAAATACACTGAGAGGTGTATGTCACTGTAAATACACTGAGAGGTGTATGTCACTGTAAATACAGAACATTTCAAGCAAATTAGGTCAGTTTTTGTCCCCAGGATGCGACTCACACCAGTCAACTAACACCCAGGTACCCATTTTATTCATGGGTGAACATGGATAACAGGTAAATAACAAAAAGGCACAATACCGTGACTGGAACGATACACAAATAACCCGCACATAAAAGAGAGAAGCTTACGACGACGACTTTGTCAATGGTCCAAGTCGGACCGAAACGTCGTCGTAAGCTTCTCACTTTTATGTGCGGGTTATTTGTGTATGGATAACAGGTGTAAGGAAGCACACAGAATGTTTCCACCCTTGCCGGGAATCGACCCAGACCTCAGCGTTTGAAGCGAGAGCTTTTGCCACCAGGCCACAAGTATTTTATAAGTCAATATCCTATGAACAATATAAAGAACAAGGCCAGGTAACAATATGCATAAGTGTAGATAGTTTTTAAATTAAATATTCCACGTATTGTTAAACAGTTTATAAAATATACTAAAAACTGTATAGAATTTGGTCAATAAAGATATATATTGCCAAGGCATATATTATTTACCGTAACTAACAAACATGAATTTTTTTTTTAATGAACGTACATGTAGTATGAATAGAACACAAATGAATAAAAAAAATATATAATGGGGAATTTACTCGATTGAGTTGATTCTTCATTCCTGGACTGTGGAATAATTAGTGAGATATACAATTTGCCTCAAAGCAGCGTATATCCAGCCGAGGGATACTCACTGGGTTTAGGATGATGGTATTCCTATCACGGTCTCTAAGGGGAGCAATATTTATCCCCCCCCCCAAAGAAGTGAAGTTGGTAAGTTTTTGAAATATAATAAAATATCTGACCTTTACCTCACCACAAATGCGAAATAAAAAATTTGCTATTGTGTAAATATTTGCATTAATTTGTAAAACATTCGTTGTTGAGAGTTTGTTGTGAAAATGTCAGTCCACGCATTTTTAATGGAAGGTTTTTAATAAATAGTCCAATAACGAGGAAATCAGCAGAGCACATTATTGGGGAGAAAAAAAATTGAGAGAAAAATATGCTATTGGTTTTTGTATACGAAAGGCTTGTTCTTTAACAGTTACCACTGGTGGTACAGTTACCCCTGGTGGTACAGTTACCCCTGGTGCTACAGTTACCCTGGTGGTACAGTTACCCTGGTGGTACAGTTACCCTGGTGGTACAGTTACCCTGGTGGTACAGTTACCCCTGGTGGTACAGTTACCCCTGGTGGTACAGTTACCCCTGGTGGTACAGTTACCCCTGGTGGTACAGTTACCCCTGGTGGTACAGTTACCCCTGGTGGTACAGTTACCCCTGGTGGTACAGTTACCCCTGGTGGTACAGTTACCCCTGGTGGTACACAGCTACCCCTGGTGGTACAGTTACCCCTGGTGGTACAGTTACCCCTGGTGGTACAGTTACCCCTGGTGGTACACAGTTACCCCTGGTGGTACAGTTACCCCTGGTGGTACAGTTACCCCTGGTGGTACACAGCTACCCCTGGTGGTACAGTTACCCCTGGTGGTACAGTTACCCCTGGTGGTACAGTTACCCCTGGTGGTACAGTTACCCCTGGTGGTACAGTTACCCCTGGGGTACATACCCCCGGTGGTACAGTTACCCCGGTGGTACGTTACCCCTGGTGGTACAGTTACCCCTGGTGGGACACAGCTACCCCTTGGGGGGCGTTACCCCGGTGGTAC